TCGAATCAAAGGTGAAGCCGTAGAGATTGATTATGAGGGGGAAAAGATAGATTGATTGGGTAGATCATGTTATCGCTAGTACGACACAAAAATGATGCATCTACTTGGGGTAATCTATATCTGTTATGGTGCTAATTGGGCGTGGGAAGAGGGGTATATAGGTTGAGGATTACAAGTCGAACAAGTCGATCAAGAATAAAGTAAGCCAAAGAAAAGGAAGCCATGAGATCCATCAAATTTAATCAATTATCAGTGGAATTCCATCTTCAGTTGTTCTCCATTCCTCATCGTGGAAAGTAGGTGGCTCTTGGAACTCGTCACCTGGTAGCATCCAAAGTTAGCAAAAAGAAAAAAAGAGCACAAATCAAAGGCAGGATGTATGCCTGTAGACTGGACATATCATCGGAAGATATCCTCCCAAGCAACTTCCAAGTCCGATCTTCATCAAGAGAGCATCCTTGGCGATATCGCCATCTTCATACCTCCAAGCACAGCAGGTTGGAGAATGTTCCATCACGGACAATTTCCAGTTCATTCTGCGGCAACGGGCTCAGCAATGCCATACGCCCGGCGAAAGGACTCCATCTTCATCGCGATCTTGGGTCTGCGCGCCAGGCGAGCAGGCGGGCTTCGAGCGGGTGTGTGGAAGAGGGGATATCTCACTGGCGGTGGGGTGGTTGGTAGAGGAGGCATGAGCGGTAGCGGGGAGAGTAATCTTGTTACGGAGGGTGTCGGGAAGACCAGGCGCTGAGGGGGCACCCTTTGAGGGACGAGTGTGACGGGTTGTAGTGTGCTGCTGACCGGTTTTAGTAACGATATGGGTGCAACATGGAGACTGGGGAATCCGGTTAACGATCTGAATCTACAATTGGTATTGAGGTTCAGTGCATTTTGCCGAATCACTCAACCCCAGTACTAGAAAGCAACACGGGGACCTATGATATAGCATGGCCATCACTAGCGTCGCCCGGGAATGGGCCTGGATGATATCGGAGTCGGAGCTTGGTAACATACCATTATGACGGATGTTCCAGTTTGCTTTGCAGATAAGTCAGAGGCTGTGAAACTGGAAACCTGTTTTTTGATAGGGTGTTCCAAGACAAAGAGAGATCAAGAAATCAAGAGGATGACAGCAGTTGCGGAGGACGTCAGGCAGAGAAGCAGCAGCGCGTCCAGCTCCTCCGGTGTGGCACATAAACCAAAGACGCAGCGATCCATGAGGTCACGTGCCACTATCCCAATCGAACATTTCTAGGGACTCCAACAGCCGCATCATCACGAAGTCCAAACACCCCACAATGCCACGACCTGGCCTCTGGCCCTCCGGGGCTGCGGACTCTTGTCCAGCGCCCAGCTATTTCATCAACACCCCTCCGCACCTCTCCGCCACTTCCACCAACGCCTCCCGTGCCCAGCCCGCGCTCACCTCCCGCTTCAACTTCCAGCCCGTTTTCCGCACTCAAACGGCTCTGACCTGTCACCACTGCCGCCTCATTCTCCAGCTCCCCGATTATCCAGGCGACATACAACCAAGTCCGCTCGGGGCGGTGCGGCCTTCAGTACGCCAGCGCGCGCCGCGGACGATTCGCCGCGCTTAGGACCACCCTTCATTGAAGGGTGTGTGCCTGAAGACCGGTGTCACAAAGCCCAAGAAGCCTAATTCTGGAGAGCGAAAATTCGCTCGTGTGCGCTTGAGTACTGGCAAGGTCATTAGTGCTATTATTCCCGGAGAAGGTATGTATTTGAAGATGCCTGATATTGGAGTTTGCGATTGCGATTATTTCTTTGAATTGGATACTCATTCTCTGGGATTTTTATAGGACACATATTTCCAACAGCACAGTGTCGTTCAGGTTCGTGGTGGCAGAGTCGCAGGATTGTCCTGGTGTGAAGTACCACTTGGTTCCGGTGGTGCGATGGATCTGGGTGGTGTTGGAAGCCGAAACTCTAGCTGCTTCAAGTATGGAACGAAGAAGCCCAAGAGCAACTAGATTGGTCGATACACCATCTGGGATCTGGTTGATATAAGATGCTAGAGCAGCAGGTCAGGAATCATGTTGCTCTATCTTTTTTCTGCTTTCTGATAAGTAAGGCGATTGAATGCCTTTGTTTTTGCAGCACTGTGGTTTTCCCTTTCTTTCTGCCTTGTATTATTTGCCAAGCATAGGCGATATGTTATTTATTGGATCGCATGTATCATTACCTAGTATAGGTAGCAGTTATTTCAAGTTTGTTTATTTTATTAAATCTTGGGAATTGCCTAAAGAGGCTTCCGATTACATTGGGTTTCTTACGAATTATATTGAGATTAAGTATAGGATATTGTGATATTTATTTATTTGTATAAAGTTGCTACATAACCAACCTTAAGTTCATACTACTAGATATTATCATAATTCTCCTCAAGTGCTGGAAGACTCTCCACACTTTGACGGACCAAACACATGTGGTGTATTTTTCCAGTCTGACGATGTATTCAGAAGTTGGTTTATGACCTAGTACAACTGGAAGCTGTTTCCCTTTTTGTATTTTTCGTGGTATTTTCATCCCAGGAACGTATAAAAGTGTTTTAGATACAATCGTTGTCAGACTCAATGTACTGATAGTAGTAAAAACGTTGCTCATCCTGGGAAATAGTTTCTCCGACCATGCATCAAATATTCAGGGAACAGATAAAGGCGCAATCGAGAATCCAAATATAAAATATGGCAAAAAATGGAAGTTGAATCGAGATATGGATACCCGTCTGTAATGGCAGCGCAAAGGAAAATAAAAGTAGAGAGCCTCAAGAGAGAAGTGAAGAACAGAATGTTGGGTCTTCCAGGTCAAGCCTAGAATAGGGCCGCGATTTATCACTCACGGAGTGGTAATGTGGTTTATGTGGGTCAAACGGCGGACAGATACCAACGACAGATTTGGCGATGAATCCCCGATTCGCACCAACAACCAATATCGCACGTCGCGATAAAGTGTGACAACAAGTACGCCAACACCCAACAAAAAGAGTGCCCAATGGCCAAGAGCCAAAGCCATTGCTGCTTATCCCAGCCATCTGGCTTCTGCAAATTGTTCACGTCGAACCACCGTTTTGTGCATGAGTAACCCGCCCAATCAAAGTTCTCGCTCGGCTTGCAGTGGCAGCGAAGATCCAGCCTCGTTTTCTCGCTGCTGGGGCAATGGGTGAATGGAACATGGTATTAGGCAATTTCATTCCAGAAATGGATTTCATCCGCCTTGACATGAGCGAGGCAGCAATCGAGTGGACCGGTGCATCGCCCCATCTTTCGTAGAAGAAGCCACCATCGTGATCCAGGCTGGTGAAATAGTCAATATATTGGTCGGACCGCAACCATTCCAGGCTGCCGATCTCAAAGTTGGACCACTAAATTCAAGTTAGAAACCATGTTGCAAGATCAAATAAGAGCAGATTAGAAGGTAAAAGGGTTAAAGACGTACGAAGTGGCACTTGTTATAGTCTCACCGCCGTCCTCGCTGATGAACTCCATGGCGTTACCCTCCGCGATATGCTCCGGGTGGTTCTTCATGAAGCCCTTCACACTATCCCACAGGGTGGGAATGGTTTCGTAGTACTCCAGCAGACTAATAACAAAGCTGTATTTCTTGTTGTTTTCCTTCATGAATCGGAATGGGTCTCCGGGGACATCGCAGAAGAGCTCAATGCTGGGCTCTACACGCCAGTAGTACTCGTAGTTAATCATCAACTCGTGACGGAAGAAGAATCCAGACTCGTAGCGGCACATGTGGCGATAGCTCTCCGAGTCACCGTAGACGATCTTCTTGCACCCATCTCCAGGCGAGCTGGACGCGCCTTTTCCTCGTCAATCCATTCAGGGTATGACCAGTGCTCCTTAAGAATGACACCATAGTGGGTTGTACCAGATACCAGTGCGGTCGTAAGCTTCTTAAATTCGTCGTCAAACTCGTTATCGTTCAAGAATACCCAGTCATAGTGGAAGTTGCGGTTGAATCGGTCCTCGACGGTGCGGATGGACTTGGCGATTTCCCAAATGTCGGCGTTACGGGCGAGAGTAACAAAGGTGGCGTTCACCCTTTCCGAGGTTTCAGAGACGGGGGTCTGGGGCTTTTCCTCCTTGAACTCTTCGTAGGAAGGAGAGGGTGGGGCAAATGAGGAGCTAGTTGGAATTTCCGAGAGAGGATCGGGAGACAAGATAGAAGAATGTCACTCCCTAGGGTTGATTATTAGTTTGGTGTTAAATTCGATTTCTCAATGTTGCTTTACAGGCTGCAATGAGCATGCCAGAAGAGTGATAGAGAGGACATACGACCAAGGCGAACACCAGGTATCGCATATAACGCGCCGAGACAGACATGGTGGCGAAGGGTTAGGTGCCTTTGAAGGCAGGCAGAAACGAGTGAGTGTGACAGAGTTGATCAGGCCAGCAGAATCGGGGAAGGCCCACGTCAAAGAGATCCCATGTGCAGGGAAAGTAGGATGAATAAAAGAGAGGGGGATAGGAAGAGAAGATTCCCGTAAAAAGTAAAAGAAAACGGTTAAGGGGGAAGAGTTGACAGGGTCTGGATTCGGAGAGGCCGCGCAATGACAATGCCTGCTAATTAAGATGGCGAACAACCGCTTTCAGCCGCGTAACATTTCACCAAGAATTTCAGGGGACACATGAATTGCTGTTTAATAAAAAAATTTAAAAAATATAATAAAAAATCATAGCCTTGTCTTAATCTGCCGAGCACCCTGAAATGAACAAATCCACTTCTTTCTAGCCGTGCCGATCTATAGAGAAGGAATGAATGGACCACGGAAGCAAATTAAACCGGGGACTTTGGCTTTGCTGTTTCACCTCTGGAGCCACATATTACGAGGAAATGATACTGTACTGCTGGTACACGGAATATTACTTAGAAGCCGAGGTGAAAATGCTCCATAAACAGTGAAAAGCAATTTGAGCCTCATCAACTGAATTGAACTTGATATGATGATATATCCCCCACTTTCAATTGTTTATCAACGTGAACCTGAAACTAAACTTGTACGCTGATCGCCGCATGGATTTGGCAAGTTGATGCCTGAGACTTGAGGCACCCGCACTTCCCTGAACTTCCCAGCTTTACTTCATCTCATTGGAAATCTTTCCCCACCATCACCACCTTTATCTCTCCTTCTTCCCCCGCCCACCTCTTCTCACCTATTGACCAAAGATGTTTTCTTTGGCTTCAATACCGCCCTGCCGAGGGACCAGGACCCTGGTCCCTCTGGCTCCCGCGGTTTCTTCGAGAACCCGGATCCCTTCGCGGAGGTTGCCCGGGCTTCGGCGCTTGAAGATGACGACGCGTGAGAACTCCTCTGACCCTGGGATAGCGATCTGTATTTTGGAGTTTTAATTGACTCTCTTCTAGAATTGACTTCGAGGACACCTACGATGGCCTTGGCGACCGACTTGACGACGACCAGGATGAGTTCAACGACGACACCTTTGGCGGCGGTGGCGGAGATAATACCAGTGGAGGAGCTGTCGGCAGAGACTTTGACTTCTTTGGTCGAACTGCTCAGGTTGCCGATGCAATTGGCGAGGAGCACATCCGATACAGCTTGCAGAACCCCCATGCTGCTCCCCCGCCCCGCTAGATGCCCACGTAGCTGCCCAGCCTGTTGCCGAACCGACCACCAGGCGCACTGGCTACGAGAAGTATTCGGACCCTGGATATATCCCGGATCTTCAGGCCAAATCGAGCGTGTGGGGTGTCTCGCAGAAGAAGCCAGAATCGAGTCCAGCTCTGATGCACTCGATGCCCATCATGCCCACCATGCCAGTTGTCCCTAGCCGAAAGATGATGATGAGCTTGGAGGAGGTGGAAGCACAGATGCGCAGTCGAGGCCAGGCTTTCGGGCCTATTCCCACTCAGCCAATTCATCAGCAGATGCCCGATTCATCCTATCTGCGCCACCCGCAGGACTTCCCGACTCTGCCTGATGGATTCCCTACCAATATCCCCCCGGAAATTCTCCGAGCGCAGCTTGAAAAGGGCGGACTACCCCGCATATGTCACACCCTCCACCGGGTATCCAGGAACTCTACGGAGGTCCTGGTCCCGCACCTGGCGCACCCCTGCAGCATCTGCAGAACAACCTTCCTCCCCAAAACCTGCCACCTCAAGGGCCTCGCCATGCGGGTCCACCCCCCGCCCAGCGGCAACAGCAGATGCCACCCCCACCTTCTCGGGGCCCCAACGGTGGACTGCCGGTGATCACTAACCCGCAACAGCTGGTGCACCTTACCGAGGAGCAACGTAACACTTACCTGATGGAGGACGCCAAGCGGGCGAAGCGCAATCACAAGATCTTCCTCTTATCTCGCGGCAATGGATTGATGACACCTCAGGATAAGAACTTCATCACCCGCATTCAACTCCAGCAGCTTGTGGCTGCGGCTGGCAATGTCGCCGACTCCGATCCTGAAGCCGTGCTTGCCGAGGACTTTTACTATCAAGTTTATAGCCAGATTCGTGGCGCCCCACGCCAGCACCCCCACCAACCTTTAGGTCACTTCGCTCAGACTTACCTCCTCCAAACTGGCAACCGTATTGGAGGGCATGGCAACCGCCGTGCGTTCCAGGGAGCGGATAACCACATGCAGCGCATGCAGCAGCAAGTGCAGCGTGCCGTCGAGGCAGCCAAGGCAAAGCCGAAGAACAAGCAACTCATCATTGAAGGCAGTCTGGGCAAGATCTCTTTCAGCAACGCCAAGGCTCCGAAGCCGATGCTGAACCTCAAACGACCCGATAGCTCGGAAGGCCCTCGGCCGAAGAAGTTGCAATCGGACCTGAGCACTAGTGATCGGAAATCTCTTCTGGGTAACATTGAAGCTGTCTACGACGCTTTGATGTCGATGGAGGACATGGAACGCACTATGCCACCACCGCCCGAGGAGGGCGACACAGAGGCCATTCAGGAGCACATGGAATGGCGACAGCAGGTTCAGAAACTCAATCAGAAGTTGTGGCAAGCACTCAAGGTCATGGAACCCATTGTGCCCAACGCAACCACTCCCCACCCGTTCATTGCATTCTTGTCCTACCCGAAGGGTAAGAAGGCCATCCCTCGTATCTTCCGCCACATTGATCAAGAGCAACGGGTCACCATTCTCACCATGATTGTGGTGCACTTGGACAGCTTGGACGTTGTTCGTCTTGCACAACACGCGGGACCTGGCGATGCGCAGTTGCCTGTCGCAGTGCGTGAAGCCATTGATCTCTTCTCACTGGCTGTCATGCCGAGCTTGCTGGGCTACGTCAATGAAGCCCCCTTCAACATCATCATTGGTCTTTTGGGTCTGGTGATTGCTCAAACCCAAGCCATCTCCGTGGCTCGCACCAAGACTGGTCTGGGTATCCTGACCATGTTGCTCAGTCGGGCCGAGATCGTCAAGGAGGCTGGCCAGGCGTCCGAGCGCGATTGGCAGCAGTGGGTGGAGAAGTTCAATGTTCTGTTTGATATGTTGGAGCCTGGCCTGGTACATATCTTCCCTGGGTCCATCAACTCTGGTGACGATATGTACGTGTGGCAATTCCTAGCCGCCGTGGGTATTGGTGCCAGCCCTGAGCAACAGCAGCGTTTGGTGATTGCTGTCAAGTGAGTAAAACCCCGATAGATACTTGACCTGATGTTTAGATCTGGATGCTGACCATAAATTTTTCTTTTTTTTCAGGGATCGTGTCATGGAAACCGTTGGCTACAGCAAGACTCTCCCCGCCGATATGGCTAGCCAAAGACTGGGCAATGTCAACCTGTTCATGCGGGCTATTGGTTTGGACGTGGAACTTCTTGGTTAAAATATGGGTCTGCTTAACCAATCTTTGGGGGGAGGCTTCTCTCCTCCTGCCATGCGTGATGAGCCGATATATCATGTCTTCTTCTCTCTCCGCATATCAGGCAAATCCCATGCCCATCCGTGCCCCAGCTCATTTCTGATGAAATGAGCGTCAACCCCGAGGCCTTCCACACATATTAATGTGGACATGAATTTATGATTATTGAACCTTACGGGCACCTTGGGGACCGCTGAAAATGCAAACCCTCACGTGCTGGCCTCGGGGACCCAGGACATAAAGAGGGTTATCTTCCAACCTCAGCACTGTAGCTTGACCCGACTATTTCTCAGGGTATTTCAGGGAAGTTTTGTCCCTGTGCTGAAGCACTTGTGTTTTTATTCTTGGCTTTGTTTTTTCTTTTCTTTTCTTCTGCTCATACCAATTCATTTCCAAATTTCTTTCATTTTTTCCGTGGGGCAGATTTCCTGGGATGTGGAATCTGCTATTGTTGAGTTTTACGACGATTATGCAATGAGAGTGCGGTGGGTACATACAAGTCTACGTAAAGGTCCAAGGTCATAATTCAAATGTTATGTATTTTAACATTTGAAGAAATAATTGCTATGAATATATAATGTTGAAAGAAAGTGAGTGTATATCTGGAGGCGAACATTTACCGAGTGGATTTAACATAAGGTCCCGCTATTCCAATGAATCGCAGTGCCATGGACCCTGGGCCCGGGCGATTATCTGATTCGATAGTACCTTGGCGCTTTGAGTGGAGCATTTCCAAACGGGGTTGCCGCTTCGGTCCAAATGCACTGAAATGGACTGGAATAGACTGAAATAGACTGAAATGGCCAGTTGTCATTAAATTAGTATCAAGTATTAATGCAGGTCTCAGGTCTCGCCTACGCTTTCCGTCGTCTATCATGACCCAAACGGAGAAATACGGGTTTGAAATTGCTTGGTTTCGGCTTGGTGGCGCTATAATACACCGCCATGGATGATCCTTGCGATCTACAAAAAAAAAATCAAGAACAGAAAAAAAAATAAAAGAAAAAAGAAACAAAGCCGGTTGCATTCAGCCGGATTGGATTGTATTCCAATATCAACAAGATGTCAATTATTTCAAGTGTTTTTTGAAAAAAAGATATTAGGATGAGAGATATGTAAAAGGGAATTATTTAAAAGTATTGAAAAGAATTCAAATATAAATAAGTTAAAATAAGTTACTGGAATTGAATTGAAAGTCTAGAATCTAAATTTATATAACAAAAATCCCGTGTGATGGCGATAGACATTGGCGGCGGTGATTATTACCCGGCTGATTCGAGTGGCGGGATTTCCCCTTAAATGCCTTTCCCCTCTCCACGTAACCTTCTTCCGTCTTCCACCTTCAATTTACTCTCCCAAACTCCTCAAAATATCCTTGTGAATCATTTCATTATGCCTACCGGTGCTGTTCTCGTTGCTGGGTAAGTGATTTCCAAATCCTCAATTTGACCCCACCCATTGCGATCGCAACTAACCCCGCCGCAATAGTGGTACTGGCTACATTGGCTCGTTCACCACCTTGGCCCTGCTCGAGGCCGGTTACAAGGTTGTTGTCGCTGATAACCTCTACAACTCCTCCGTCGAGGCTCTGTCCCGAATTGAGTTGATCTGTGGCAAGAAGCCCCAGTTCTACAAGCTCGATGTTACCCACGACAATGCCTTCGACCAGGTCTTCCAGGACCACCCCGACATTGACAGCGTCATTCACTTTGCTGCCTTGAAGGTATGAATACCATCTTCACTAGCATCAATGCAAGAGATCTACAACATCTCACTAAGAACCGCAATGCTAACTGCGCTCCCTGAAATATAGGCTGTCGGCGAGTCTGGCGAGAAGCCCCTCGACTACTACCACACCAACGTCTACGGCTCCGTCAACCTTCTCCGCGCCATGGTCAAGTACAATGTCTACAACATTGTCTTCTCTAGCTCCGCCACCGTCTACGGCGATGCCACCCGTTTCCCTAACATGATCCCCATCCCCGAAGAGTGCCCTCTCGGCCCCACCAACCCTTACGGAAACACCAAGCTCTCCGTCGAGTTTGCCATCGCCGACACCATCAACGCTCAGCGCAACAATGCCACCAAGGCCGGAAACGAGGCCGAGGCCAAGAAGTGGAACGGCGCTCTCCTGCGCTACTTCAACCCCGCTGGTGCCCACCCCACAGGTATCATGGGTGAGGACCCCCAGGGTGTCCCCTACAACCTGCTGCCCCTCCTGGCCCAGGTTGCCACCGGCAAGCGCGAGAAGCTTGCTGTCTTCGGCGACGACTACGCCTCCCACGACGGCACTGCCATCCGTGATTACATCCACATCCTCGACTTGGCTGACGGCCACTTGAAGGCCCTCAACTACCTCCGTGAGCACAGCCCCGGTGTTCGCGCTTGGAACTTGGGTACCGGTCGTGGCTCTACCGTTTACGAGATGATCCGCGCTTTCTCCACTGCCGTTGGCCGTGACCTTCCTTACGAGGTTACCCCCCGCCGTGATGGTGATGTCTTGAACTTGACTGCCAATGCTAAGCGGGCCGAGACTGAGCTTGGCTGGAAGCCCACCCACACTCTCGAGCAGGCTTGTGAGGACCTGTGGCGCTGGACTGAGAACAACCCTGAGGGATACCGTCAGCAGCCGCCGGCCGAGCTGTTGGCTCAGCTGAAGAAGTGAATAGTGTGATTTAATGGCGGATATCAACATGGTTGACCATAGTCAATACATATATGTTAGCGTAGAACTTTACTAGAATACATGAAACGAATCTCCTTTTTCTAAATTGTTCTTTTGCGTACTAAACATTTTAAGTTGTTTGCATATGTACTTCGGACCGTACTACATACTATTTTTACACGCAGCGAACACCTGCATGATTACTACTTACTATCCTTGAGGGCCATTGTTTCAAATGGTATGCATACCAACCTTAATGAATAAGGAAATTTTTTCTTTTGTATTCCCTCGGAAAGATGTCTAGTATAGTGTATATGCGAAGAACCCAGAATCCAAACCGCATGCATGCCGCTCTATATAACCTTCAAGTTGAAACCACCGCTTTTCCCGCTTATTTAGTCTTCTTATTCCGTCTGGACCCAGGAGTCTGCGCCTTTGCCGAAGCAGTCTCCTTGCGAGTCTCCTTTTCCTTGGTAGACTCCTTCTCCTTCTTCTCCGCCGCTCTCACCAAAGCACTCTCCCTCTCAGCCTCCTCAATCTGCTTCTCACTGAACTCCCACAGTCGCTTGCCAACATCCTCATCCCGCACATCCGTGCGTGCAACATCCATCTCCCGACACTCCTTGATAAACCATCCACCAGCACCACGGCCATACGACTCCTCCATAGCAGCATACAGAACGCTCTGTGCACCCTGGTTCGGCGACTTGAGAACCAACCACCAAAACGGCCAAGTAATCAAGTAAAGCATCAAGCCCCAAAGCGAACCACCAGTCATCCAGCGCCGAGTCCCAGGCGTCCGCGAATGACCGGGATCCACAACCAGAACTCGAGTACAAGCCGGCAGACCATCTGGTCGCGCAATCGAGTTCAAATGCCTCTGGAACGAGTACGCAAAGTTCATAAGCGAGAACTTGCTCAGCGCATAAATACCCTTGGGCGCGGCGGTGATAACCCTCTTTTTATCCTTCGACATAAAGGAACCGGTCATGCCGCGCTTCACTCGCTCCAACTCGAACTTCGCCCCGATATATCCGGAGCACGTGGTGAAGATCACGCGCACATCCCGGTGCGCGGGCTGAGCCCGCAGCGCCGGACTGAGTATGCTGAGGAGATGGAAGTTGGCGAGGTAGTTGACTTGCCACTCCTCGTCAATGCCGTCGATTGTGTTCTTTTTCGCGGATGCGGGGACGGCCACACCGCCGCATAGGATGATGGCGTCCAGACGGCGGGGCTCGGTATTGTCGATCCACTTTGTAGCGAATGTGCGGACGGAGTGTAGGGAGGAGAGATCGACTTGCTCGGCAAAAATGTTCTGGTTGCCTGTGCTTTTGCGGATGTCGTCGATGAATTCGACTACGAAGAGGTCCGAGGGTGGTTGGCGGGTTAGAAGGATGATTTGGGCGCCGCGCGCTGCTAGTCCTTGGACCACTTCGGCGCCTATACCGGATGTTCCGCCCTGTCAGGTGGTTGTAGTTAGTGTTTTGATTCTTTGTGCGTAGGTGATTTGGTAGGAGGGGAATTGTAGTACCGTTATCATCACTCTTCTAGAGTGCATGAGTCGCTCGGAGGTGTTGCGGGCTCCGCCGAAGTAATACTTCAGCGCGGCGAGGAGGATGATCCATGGTGCGAATTTTAGGATTGGCCAGGCATACGGAATGGATGAGATGCCCGACGAGATTGCCTGGGCAAGGATTGGGATAGGCATGCTGGGAGGGAGGGAATTGGGAGGAAGAGTAGGAAGGGCAAAGAAAAGTGGTCTAGCTGAGGAAGCGTGTACGTATGGCAGCTTATCGAATCGTTATCGCTATCGATAAGAATGTCTTATCGCCACAGAACATTCTATTCTTGGAATATCTTCTTCCATACATACAATTCAAGCTTGCTTGTCTCTTAACTCGACTGGGTGCTTATTCCCCAGCGCAGTGCGCCATGTCTCAAGACTACGACGATGAAGACTATTACCTCCCACTAGAAGATCAGCGCGTCTTTGGCGCTGGAATCCGCCGCAAAAGAGTGCCTTTCGTGCGCTCGGGAGAGTTGAATACTACTACCACGCCAGGCTCATCTTCGATCACTGGCACAAATATCGCTGATGCATACCTCTCGATCGTCCTCAAGCAAAACAATACCTCAAATACTTCACCATCAACACCTACGAATACAAATCCCTCTGACGAACCCATCCCGCCACCCCGAACAACTCATTCCGCCCCGCCATCAACAGAGACAAAATCTCCCGCGCCTCCGGATATTATAGAGTTTCGCCCAAAAGATCCTGAACAAGGGCTCTGCGAAG